GAGACACCTCGACATAGGGTTCCTCTGGCCTGAGCTGTCGGCAGGGCAAGTAATGAAACAAGGTGCCTGAGCTTAAAGGAAGCTGCCACTTGTGGAAATGGAGATAGACCTGGGTCCCTCTCCTAACAGGGGTCACCAGGCCTCCGAGAAAGGCACCTGCTGCCTGCTTGGCCTCAAGGGCCCAGATACAGTGCAGATGACCAGCCTGGGGTCTGCTCTGTGCCCTCCCTGTGCTCCCTGCTCTGGCTCCTCCTCCCTCCCACACCTGACTTTGTGCCCCTCCCTGTCCTGGCTTCTCCTTCCTGAAGCAGGGCCTCCTCCAGCACACACACCTTCTGAGTGATGCAGTGACTGCCACCCACTCACCAAGGACTCTTGGACCACAGGCCACTTTGCTGACTTCAGTCTGGATCCTACTTTTGCATGTTGGGACAAGAAATGGTGTTTCTGTTAAAATCAGAACTTTTGAAGAATCCATTTCCATAGTTTTCCATATGTAAAAATATGTGTTTGTTTATTTGCAAGTCAGAGTCAGAAAGAGAGAGAGTGAGATCTTTTTCAATCCACTGCTTCACTCCCAAAGCAGCCACAATAGCCCTGGTTGGGCCAGGCCAAAACCTAGAGGCCAGAGCCAGGTCTCCCAGGTGGGTGGTAGGGCTCCAAGCACCTGGGCCTTCTGCCACTGCTCTTCCCGGGGCAACAGCAGGGAGATGGATTAAAAGTGGAGCAGCAGGCCCCCAAAGCAGTGCCTATAGGGATGCCAGCCTCACAGATGGCCGCTTTACCCATGATATCACACCAGCCCCAGGTTTTCCACACTTTAGTGGTCACGTGCTTGGCTTCCCTCCCAGCTATCTGTGCGAGATGTTTATTTAGTGCTAGGTACTATCATAGGGGCAGCAAGGGTCACACTCAGGAGAGCCATGTCCTGTCCTGGCTTGTTCACTCACTGGGTGGGCCCCATTTCCACATCCATAAGGGGAGGTCTGGATGGTAAGTCTCCTATCACAGACATTTAGACAAAAACTATGCACAGATTTCAAGGCTTTTGGCACCAAAAGAAGTTTATCTTTTAATTGCGTTTTCTACACACTCCCAGAACAAAGCTTCTTTCCTGTGCTGGTTTGTTGGTTGCACATAATGACTAACAATTTGTAAGGGAAAGAAGTGTGGTTTGAGTAGGCTTCATTATTCATTGAAATCTTGCTTTACCACATTGAAATCGAGCCATTCGGAGCCCTGGTTCTAGTTCGGTTTACATTTTAAGTATTTAATTGACACAGAATTGTACATATTTATGGGGTACAATTAGTTTCCTTTCCTTATAATAGCTATCATAGCTGATCTGAAGAGAAGAAATGTGTCATGGGTTTATGTATTAAGTCATGGTTTTCATTTCTAACCTCATCTATCAATGAAGGGACTTTTTTTTTTGAAAGTAAGTTAGGAATTGTCTGGCTGTCATTGTGTTAGTCATTGACTCTCAGGAGCTAATTGGAAAATATTGCAGTTTTAAATTTAATAAATGGACTCGAATCCACCTACCCTCTTTATTGGGCGATTTTCAAAATAGCTAGAAAAAATATGATTCTAATATTTTCCAGGGATGCAGAGGTAAGCATTTTGGTGGTGATAGCACTTATTTTTAACAGCAAAATCCCATTTTCAACCTATTCTCTCCAAAGTGGGAGTTTCTTTGGAAAAGCAATAAGGCTGAAATGAGTCACCTTTACTTTGAAGAAGCAAGTGCATGTGAGTTCATTCGTTGGTGACTTTTTGCTAGGTAGCAAGCCACCCACAGCCACTTGTCATTCTAAAAGGTCAGCGAATTTCCTTTTCTGAGCAAGAAAACATACAACTCATCATTGGGCTGGATGATTTTTTTTCAGGCACCTTAGCCAGGAGATAACCAGCCCCATGTGGTTCGAAAGAGTCCCAGAATCACTTCCCACCTGAACCCAGATCATCCTATGTCCTACTAGATTTTCAAGTCTGTTGATTTATTTCTCTGGAAGGCAGAGAGAGAGAGAGAGAGAGAAGGAGAAAGAGAGAGAGAGAGAGAGAGAGAGAGAGAGAGAGAGAGAGAGACTCTCTTACTCCCTGGTTCACTCCCCATATGCCCACAGAAGCTGAAACCAGGCACCAGGAATTCAGCCCAGGTCTTCCAAATGGGTGCAGGGACCCAACTACTTGCGCCATTAGCTGCTCCTTCCTAGGTGCCATATTAGCAGGAAGCTCACATTGGACGTGGAGCTGGGAAAGATGGGACACAAGTGTCTCATGTGGTGTCTTAAGAGCTACAAAGAATTTTTTTTTCAATGAACCCCATCAGTGTGTTCTCTTGCACTCTGTTCTTGTAGATCCACCTTGTGGGCTGCAGCAGCCCTAAAGAGATCTTGCAAGGAGTTAGTGTTGTAGTTGGAATGTGATTTGGCCCCTGAGCCTATTCAGGGCTTATCTTAAGGGTATTCTGCAGGCAGAAATGCAATTCAACTGTGGGGACCAAAGGGTGCATGGTGGGCGTGCCTTGGAAGGTGGTTCTAGTGAAAAGATGGGTTCCAGTGCCTGAACTATGAGCTCAAGCCACCTTTCCTCCTAGGAACAGTGGCTGGTTGCCTTGGACATTTTGTGGCAATGAACATGAGCCAGCTGAGACCAGTGGTTCTCCTCTGTCCCAGCACACTCCCCACCAGCATCTCTGGGCCCTGGAGTGGCTTCTCCCTCCTGTGCTGACTCTCACTTGTCCCTATCCCTGGTGCATGAAATCACTTATGGCTCAGTCTCTGTGACCTTTGCCTTGAACAGCAGGCAGAAATGTAGTGCTCCATGTATTTCACATGGAATGTGACAAGGCCACATTGGGGACATCAGCCCTTCACTCTCAAGCCGGACTTCTACAGCCTAGAGTCTGTTCTAGTGTTCATTTCTGGCTGCCTTTGGCAATATATATATATTTTAAACATCTTCCCATGTTTTTGTTGTGGCATGCTGTGTGTTCTATGCTTGTAACCACAGTTACCATGCCAGCTGCCTCATTTCCAATCTTGCTAAGACATGGAACATATGTGTGTTAAAATGAAAAGGGTGTGTGTGTGTGTGTACAGATAAGAGTCATGTGATACAAGTCTGCTACCAGGCCCATATCCAAGGTTCTTATGATGTGAGACAGTGAGGAATAGTGAGGAACAGAGTTGAACGATGACAGTACACCTGACAGTGTACCTGGACAGGCGTCTTGGCAGAGAACTCAGTGCCCAGGCTGCATTCACTGGGGCAAGGGCCCATCGTTTCTCCTTACTCCCGCTCCTGGGTGGAAAGCTTTCTTGGAATGGAATCCATGAAATTGTTCCTAGTACTTAATGGATATAGTGTTACTGGGCTCCTTGCCAACCTCTCCCCGACCCCCGTCCCCACGAACTGCCCTAGTGCAAGGCTGAGAAAATTTCCCCAGGCTGCCTACCTAAGCAAATCACTGGACTTGATCAGACTCTTAAAAAAAAAAAAAAAAAAGATTTGTTTTTATGTGAAAGACAGAGTTACAGAGAAAAGGAGAGACACAGAATTTTCCATTTGCTGGTTCACTTCCGAAATGCCTGCCATGATCATAGCAGAGCTGTTCTAAAGCCAGGAGCCAGGAGCCAGGAGCTTCCGCCAGGTCTCCAACATGGGTTCAGGGGCCCAAGGGCTTGAGCTATGCTCCCCTACTTTCCCAGGCCCTAAGCAGGGAGTTGGATCAGAAGTGGAGCAGCCAGGACTTAAACTGATGCCCACATGGGGTGCTGGTGCTGTAGGAAGAGGCTTAGCACACTATGCCACGGAGCCAGCCATTGGCCAGACTCTTGATGTACACGCACGGGTCTGCTCCTAGGGTGAGAGTCTGCATTTCCTCCCTCACTTGACCACAGGAAGATCACAAGATCAGTCTTCAGCTCCTTCTCCCTCTCTCTCTCATGCACACATGGGCTGATGTCTGCCTTCCTAAACAGGGGGTCTAAGGCGTAGGCTAAGAGGAGGGGCTCTCAGGGTCAGGGGATGGGGCCCTTGCTCCCATGCCAGATGTACACTGGGCAGTGAATTTCTTGTCTGTGACAGGGACGGAGGATGGATGCCTCCCAGCCCGGGGAGTTGGACCTGAGATGCATCGGCCCTGACATCGCATCCTTGTTCCCATGCAGTTGCCCTTTTCATCGCTACCTCCAGTTGTGGGTCTCTGGCAGGAATCCTGTGAAGCCACATGTTCCTCTGTGGGAGGAATCAATAGGGTGAATGTTTGGTAGCACAACCCCTAAAAGCCATTTGGCGAAGTCCACATCACAGCTAGACAGCACAGTTATTGGCGCTGCTTTGAGGCAATGGAACCCAGTGTTTCCGAAGTGCTGGATTGCAGGGGAGGAGGAGCCAGCAGAGAGTGCCTCAGCCCCGGCCACTCCTGTGTGTGTGTGTGTGTGTGTGGTGACAGCTACTGTGTGCCAGGCACTGCTGGTGGCCCACAGCAGCTGCCAGAATCATCACCCACCTGCCTTGTTCATGAGACATCTCAGCTTCTGGGGTACCCTGTCACTTACCTGAAGTCACCCACTCTCCAGCAGCAAAGCTGAGACTCAGATTCAGGCTGGCTGTCCCTTGTGTCAATACGTTGACAGTGACCAACTCTGGGGACTGGATTACAGGAAATTTGTATCCCATTTCCTCCTTTGGTTTTTCCCACTTTGCCAGTTTTCTACAGAAAATGCAGGAAAATGAATAACCACAACAAAGACCAACCCAGTCCAACATGAGGCTTTGGAGGAAGTGACAATAGCAGCGCAAATGATGCCACACCAGGCACTCGCCCCTATACCTCCCTCGTGTCCAAGGTCTTGGCTTACTGGGGGCTGTGTCCACACAGTATTTATGCCGTCACTGTTTTGTTCAAATCTGGAACACAGTGTTTACAATGAGGGAGGGAGGCCTAGGCAGGCCTGGCCCCTGACCTTGAGGTATCTCCCCAATTCCCACAGGTCAACCCCTTCCGAGACCGCATCTGCAGGGTGTTCTCTCACAACGGTGTGTTCTCCTTTGAGGATGTGCTGGGCATGGCGTCCGTGTTCAGTGAGCAGGCCTGCCCCAGCCTGAAGATCGAGTACGCCTTTCGCATCTATGGTATGTGCTGTGGGCACTGAGGATTGGCAGTGCTGGAGGGCAGTAGAGCATGCATCCTGTCTTTCTCAATGCACTTGTTTTTGATGGGATGGTGTCTGCTTGTGCTCCTGAGGTTTATGTGCCTCTGAAGGGAGCAGAACAAACAGAAGGATGGAGAACTACCACTGCAATGCCCAGGGACCCTCCCTAAACACAGCAGAAGCCCTCTGGAGTAGTTGGCGCTGCCATGGGGGCAGGAGTGATATGGGTGTGGCAAAGACATACACAGAGAAACTGCAGAGTGGGGGTGAGGAGGTAGGCTCCTTGGTCAGAAGGATAGCTGACTGAGGGAGTTAATAAACTCAAATGTTAGAACAGGTTTTGTCCCCAAATGGTTAAGCCATCTTGCACAAACCATTTCACTTTGGGGGGAGACTTAAAGTTTTGTTATCTTGGAGATGTTCAAAGACAGCTCCTTGGTCTCTGATTCTGTCTAGGGCAGTCACAGACTCCACTAAAGTGCTGTTCTTCACTGGGTAAACAGCCCCTTAGCATAGCTGGGCTGCCTGGCAAGAAATCAAAAGGGAAGATGTAAATCTTAAAAAATTGGCAAACCGACCATGTTCAAGACCTCAATGCATTGCCACAGCTCCTCAGCCCCTAAAGAGTTGTGCCTTCAGACTCACACATACACCAGCCTTCCTCTCCTGCCAGCTTCTCATCTCTCTCACGGATGACACCATAAAAGGACTTAGTAACGTCTTTATCACCCGTGTCCTTCACTTCAGCATCCAATAAGCATGAATGAAATCATAGATTTTCCTCCTGAGAATGGCTGAGTAATCTCTTATCACACTGTCACTCCTATAGATAGCAACCATAAACTCTAAAGCAAAATGTTAAAATCAACTACCAGATGGCTCTTGACAGCTACTAAAACAAGAGAGATTCTAGAAAAGACAGACACAGAATCCCCAAAGCCTTCTGACCTGAACTGGAGAGCCTGGAGGCAACCACGGCCCTGAGAGGTGAGGCGGGAGGGGGGATCCCATGAAAGAAGGTTGCCAGGGAAGGGGAGTCCTGGTGTCTCAAGCATCATAAAATGTGTCCAGTCGCTCTCCGACCTTCAAGCCACATATAGCAGGGAAGGCACAGAGAAGCTCACTTAAGGCTTAAAGAACTGCACTGAGATCAGAGCTGCTGTCACATTCCAACAAGGTCCCGAAGTGGCAGGGAACTTGAGTTCAACCAATTCCCTGCTAAAACCAAAAATTCCACACTCTTTAGGGGATAGAATACAGAGTCCCCCAACCAAACTCATGATGTGATGTTCACGATGCTCTCAAAGATAACTGAATATGCGAAAATCACTATTACTATATTAGGTGAATTCTCCAGAGAGGCAGAATCAATTGGAAAGAAAGGTTGATTTTGTAGTAATTGGCTTATCTGATTACGGAGGCTAAGAAGTCTCATCCTCTATTGTCTGAAAGTTGGAGAAGCAAGACAGCAGGTGGTGTCACTCAGTGCACAGGCCCCCAGCATAAGGGACACAATGTGCAAGGGCAGGAGATGGAAGCTCAGCTCAGAGGCATGGCTTTCTCCCTGTCCCTGCCTGGGGATTGAACTTTCAATGGATGGGATGATGTACACCCATATTGATGTGGGATCCTCTTTACCCACATGATTGATTCAGATGCTAGTCTCTTCCTCAAAAAAAAAAAATAATAATCACACACACACACACACACACACACACACACACACACACTCAGAAATAGTGCTTTGCCAATTATCTAAGACATTCCTTAGTCCCTGACATTTAAAATCAACACAGTAAACTTAAAGATAAAACAGTGAAAATGATTCAGAGGACACATGTTGATGGAATTCAAGAACAGAGCCTTAGGATTTGAAAGACAATAGAAAGGTCTAACATACGTTCAGCTGGAGTCTCAGAAGGAAAGGAGACAATGAATGAGATCACAAAGGTTTGAAGAAACAATGACCCAAGTTTGATGTAAGGTACAAACTTACAGTGGACTTTAAGCATAGGAAAGCCATACATACAGAATTCTGTTGGATTAGTAACCCCACCCATCCATACATTTTTCTTATTCCTTACCCCAAGCACATCTGAAAAGCTGGTCCTGCTGCTCTAGGTCAGATCTTCCTGTTGGTGCTCCCCTGACCAAGGCAGCTCTGCTGGAAGAATGCCAGAATGCCAGCCAGTGCTCTGTGTTCATGTGGTAGCCAAGAATCTTTGGGTTGCAAGTCTCAGAATCTCATCTGCATAAAAGCAACTGCATAAGGAAGAGTGTTCCATCAATTACTGCCAGTTCAGGAGCTTTAGATGACGCATTGTACGCTCTCATGGTTGCAGATGGTTGGGCACTCAGAGATGGCCTGCCTGGGTCCTCCTCTTAGGGCTTCACAAGCTTGCAGTCAAGCTTCTGGCCAAGCAGAGTGCTGGAATAGGGAAGGCTGCTCAGGCACTCACTCGGGCTGACGGCAGAGTTCAAGACCCTGTGTCTGTAGGGCTGAGGGACTTCTTGTTGATCTCAGATCTTTGCACAGGGACCTCTCAACACGGTCACCACTTCTCCCAGAATAGGAAGGAAACTGTCTTCTGAGCCTCTCTGGTAGTGGGATGGAATCTTGCATACACAGGTTATGATGAAAGACCTGTCCATCACATTTGCCAAGTTCTATTGGCTAGAAACAAGTCACCATCCCACCCACAACTAAGGGGGAATAGGGTGAAGCAGTATTTGGTGTGTTGGCCCCATTGCTGCTTGGGATGCCTACATCCCCAAATCAGAGTGCCTGGATCAAATCTAGGCTCCTCTGCTTCCAACCCAGCTTCCAGGTTATGCATACTCTGGAAGGCAGTGATGATAGCTCACGTCCTTGGGTCCCTGCTTCCCAAGAGGGAGACCTAGCCAGAGCTCTATGCTTGTGGCTTTGGCTTGGTCCAGTCCTGGCTTGCCATGGGCATTTGGAAAACAAACCAGAGCTCTTTCTCTTTTTCTACTTTTCAAATAAAATGAAAGTGAATACATAAAAAGTTTTTTAAAAATAAAGGGGCATGGGGATAATACCAAGCAATGAATACTAGGAGGTACCGATTGTAGGAGAGGGGAACCCTAAAGTTTCTCCACCACAAGCAGCATGGCACCCATGAGGGGAACAAGCTAGGTCCCCAGAGTACCCAGGGCACAGCTGGGAAGGGGTCAGAAGTGAGGGGCTCCTGCCTGCCCTCTGCTCACTGCCTCTGCTTCTTTCGACCTGTCTCCTTTCCCAGGAGAAACAGGTGGGCTCAGCCAAGCTGATGGCCTAGCTGCCCCTGGGTTGAATGACCAACCTTGGCCAGCCAGCTGCAGCCAAGGAGAAGCAGGGTCACATAAACACACAGGGCTCCAGCGGCGGCCTAGGGGGATGGGGACACTTCCCAGGGATAGCAAAGTGTAGGCTGGGCAGATGTCCCAAAAGACGTCTGCCTTAGCTGTCTTTCCATGGTTTCCAGGGCTAAACAAATAAAAACAGCTGTGCCTGCAGGAAGCTGGCTGAGCAGCAGGTTCTCCTTCGGCTTAAGGCACAGGAGTTAAATCATATTCAGCTCCAAAACAGGAGGGATGTCCTGTCACCCGAGGCCAGGCTATCTGCAGTCAGGTGCAGAGGCAGACATCCATGGTTCCTCATAGGACCCTGGGGTTCTTCCTCCATCCCTCTTCATCTCCCCTCCCCCCAGCAGGTACCTTCTTTCCTCTGTGAGCCCAAGCAGGAAAACAAAAAACTCCACACTTTCATGCAAATCAGTGGTGCCTCTAAGCACCCCCAGGGACTCTTCAACTCCCAGGCTTGCTCTAGCAACACTGAATTCTCTGAGCTCTGAATCAGCGATGGGACAAGTGAGTCCTTGAGCCCAGCGTCTGCATGTGGCAACTGTCAATCAATCCGGGTGGGAGTGGCCTACCATAAAAGAAGAAGAGGAGAAAGAGAAAAGAAAAAAAACGGAAGAGGACGGAAGGTGGCCGTGACAACAGCCCTGGTGTGATCCTTAGTGCAGGTCCAATGACCTAACTCTGGCTCTAGCCCCCAACCCGCAATGTGTGGCACCTGCAGACCTGTAGCAACCAGTGCTGCCAGGAAGCATATTAGAGGTGCAGAGCTTCACACCACAGTTAATTAATCAGATCTGCCTTTTACCAGCTCCCCCAGGAGATTCCATGACTCCTGGACTCTGCTCTCTCTAGCCCACTGGCCCCCACACTTAACTGCACGTTACCTGTGCAGTTAAACTGTGTCTCACCTGGGAGTTTCAGAACAACACAAATGTTTGGGCCCCGGTTGGAGACCTGAAAGAGGGGTCCTCGGTGTGACCTGATGATGGTGCTTCTTCCAAGCTCCCTGGGTAGTCCCAACGTGTGGCAGAATCTGAAAGCCATTGTTCCAATCCAACGCATCAGTCAGTGGTGTCCCTAGTTCTGGGTTACTATGCCTATGGTTAAAGTCAGGGGCTGGAAAGTCTAGGGCTGGGGCTGCTGGAAGGAATCAGGGTCCCGGCCAGCCTGCTCTAAGCTTCCTCATTTGCCAGCAGTGTAGGACCTTTGTCTTCATGGCCATAGATGGCTTCTGTGCCCACCAGCATCACACCTGCATCCCAGGTGAGAAGAAAATGGGAATAGAAGAAAGGATGAGAACAAGCAGGACGCTCAAAGGTATGGACACATCACTCTCCTATCGCTAGGAGCCTGCCCCTGATAGGGGCTTTGACTGCTGTTTCCTCCAGACCCACGGCCCGTGGCCATCCAGAGCTACATGGAAGGCTGAAAGCTGCAGAGTTTCAGCTGAACATGATGTCATCCTTAGCCACAGCCACAGTCCCACTGGAAAGGACGGGGACAGCAGAGAGCAGCTAATGGCTGAGAATCTGACAAAGCTGGCCAAACCTCACTGAAAGGCACCTGCTGTGCTCCAGGCTCCTGTTTGTTGGCAGGGAGCACCACCAAGGATATTTC